TGACAGGCCCAGTCCTGCCATGACACCCTTCATCCTACCCTTGGAACCCCAAGGCCAGGTTGGCTTCAAACTGTCGAAGAAGAGCATTGGCCTGGACCTGGGACACACTTGGCCTCAGCTTGACCGTCTCCCCCACCTCCAAGGGGAAAGGCGAACACCTGGCAGCTGAGGCTTGGAAATGTGTTGCCCTGAAAGATCTGAGACCTCAAGGAGGCTTTGTCTCCGAACAGGTGGAGAAGGATGCCATTCTCCTCCCTCGGGTCTGGTGGGGTCTCCCCATCGTGCATCCCCCCTCTGCAAGCCATCTCTGCCCACCCTCCAATTGACCCTGCCTGGGAACGAGGGATGAGGAGGATTTGGGGGCTGGGGGGAATCCTGCCAGTTGGAGAAGCCCCGCGGCAGGAAGGTATATGTGGACATAGAGTATACCTGACTTCTCTTCTCCAGCCACTGACTGCTTGGGTTGGGCTGTGAGTGGTAATGGAATGGCTGGAGTTCTCCTGGCTTCCGAAGCTGGGGAGGGTGACGAAGGACTGACCCACACAGGTTGAGCTGTGTGCCGGGTGCGGGCGTGGCGACACGTTCACCGCTGGTGGGGGCCGGGCAGCACAGAGAAGGTGTTGGCGGTGTCGCCGCATCGCTGACACTTCTCAGCCCTCCTTTTTTAACCGCTTCCTCGGGGGGGGGCCCAAAGACCGGGAGCGCTAGACAGTATCCCAGGCTGGCACGGGCCTGCCCTCTGCTTTCGGCCTGTGTCCTTCCCCACCTCTGCCCTCCCGGTGGTTCGTATGTGGGAAGCCCACCTCAGTTCCTGTGACCCGCTTGTCTCGGAAGTCAAGGATGAGTGTCTGGTCTCTGCTCTGAAAGTAGGATCCGGGCCTTTCCCTGCTGTCTGGTACCTGCCCCACGTTGTACCAGACACCGGACTCCTGTGCCCCCTCTTCCTTCTCTTTTTACCCCCCTTCTTTCCTTCGGATCGCTCAGCCCTGTACTGTATCCAGCACCATAGAACCTCACTGTTTGTCCTCTGCTGGGTTTGGGGGCACAAGGAAGCCTTGGGGGTGTGCAGAAAGGCTTTTCTCACCTAGAGTTTACTCCCAGGCCAGGGGGCTGCCATCCCCTCCCTGATCCTCCCACAGACACCCTAGAGAGAGGAAGCCCCTTCGGGGTGGGGAGGTGAGGACTTCATCTCAACGCAGGCTGAGGAGGGGGGGAGGGGGCTTTTATTTTTTTCCTTTTTTTGTAACATGTTAGGAGTTAATGTTGCAAAGAGTAGTTTACATCTTCACTTTCTGAAGACACTTGAATTTAGGACCGACGTATCTGTGACAGGCATGCCAGGAGCGGCCAGAGCCATTGGGGCTTGCCGCTTCTCACCCACCACTCTCCCGTGGGGGTCCAAGACCTGAGACACAAAGCAGCAGCCTGCCCAAACCCTTCTCATCCTGTACCCTTCCATGACTGGTCCACTCCAATACGACCTCTGGGCGTCAAACATCACAAGGTCTGTGTGCCTCAGCCCTGCTAAGGGGCAGGTTTCTCTCGCCCTCTTCTGAACCTGGGAGCAAATGCACTACCCGTAGAGAGTGGCTGCCTGGCCCTGCCCCAGCCTGGATCCCCGGGGCTCGGGTCCAGGTGCTGAGACCCCATGTCAAAGTTGTTAACGTTTTTGTTTTGTTCCATTGTAGCTCTTCTTTTTTTTCCCCCTTTCCTGATGATTGATTTTACAAAAGAAAGTAAGCTGCTCAGAAGGCCCTGGAAGTGGGGAGGAGGGGCAAGGAAGATGACTAGACTAGATGAGGGGCAAGGGTGGGTGGGGGTGGGTTTTGGTTTTGGTTTTGGTTTTGGTTTTTGCCCAAAAGCCTGGGTACAGCGGTCTGGATCATCTGGTGCCCTCATGAGTGGGACCCGAAGTATGTCCTGTGTGAAAGGGTCCCTGGATTTGCCCCAGCCCCCACGCTCTCCTTCAGCCATGTTGATGGCAGAGGCAGAGAAGATCAGAACTTATAGCCCATTTCTCACTGGAGAGGAAAACTTGTCATCTGGCTTTGCGGAGAAGGTTCCACCTTATGCTCATAGTACATTATCTTTACCATGTGCTAGGATATCACATTTAAAAGGACAAAATGTAAAATACTTGAATGAGCTTGTATTATAACATTAATATTATTGAGAGTATCTGCTTTCCAGGCTGAAGTGATTCATTCATTATTCTAGTCCTGCTTTAGTCCTTTGTAATTTGTGGTAATTATGCTTTTCTTTTTAATACAAAAAAAATGTATAAAAATAAAAACTTGAAAAGGCAAAATACTGGCTGGTCTCCCATCTGGGGTACAGCTCTTGAGGGATGGAGCCTGGTTAGGGTTCCCTTAGATCCAGGGGAACACTGCACTCGGAATGTGTACATGAAAGCTTTGCAGGGCTCTGCCCTTGGGCTTGTGAGGAATCTGCCTAGGGAACAGACTCCCGAGGCAGCTAATGAATGCATCCAGGTGAAATCCTCAGTGCTTTTTTTTTTTTTTTTTAAGATTGATTTATTATTTATTTTGAGAGAGTGAGAAAGAGAGAGAGTATGTAAGAGGGGGGAGGGTCAGAGGGAGAAGCAGACTCCCCGCTGAGCAGGGAGCCCGATGCGGGACTCGATCCCGGGACTCCAGGATCATGACCCGAGCCGAAGGCAGTTGCTTAACCAACTGAGCCACCCAGGTGCCCATTCCTCAGTGCTTTTGAGAGCTTCTGCCAACCTTGAATTCACACCCATCTTGTGTCTTAGGTGAGACACAGCAGTGATAGCCGGAGCCACAGAACGGAGAGCTGCCGGTGCAGCAGCTCCAGGGGCTTCTGCCCTTTTGCCCGGCTCCCGGGATTTCCATCCTCTGGCTGTGGCCTGGCGTCTTGTAAGGAGACAGCCAGGAAGGTTGCCGTGATGCCTCACACACGGCCCGCGCAGCCGCTCACCGAACAGACTTCCCCGCTAGGGTGTAGAGGACTAACGGTTCAGCACTCTGTGGCCTTAGAGGAATCCAGGTCAGCCAGCGAGCCCTGAGGATTGAAGCTAGGAAAGGCTGGAATGGTGACTATACCCCACCCCACCCGTGACTGGCCCCTGGGCTATTGGTGGCTTTTCACTGACCCGTGAAGCCAGGTACTGGCCAGGAGTAACATTCAGAATGCTAGTCTGGCCTCGATGTAGAATTACAAAACTAGAAGTGAGGCATGGCCTTCCTTACTCAATCTGACAACTCATTCATGCCTGGCACTTGAGCATCCCATCAGAAACATTTTCCCAAAGAATTCCACCATTCTTCATGTGGGCAGGTGCTTTAGGACCACCAATGGCCTCCATAGGCTGAAGGAGAGTTTAGGAGGTGGTTACCAGGGCTTCTGCAGAGGGATTTGAGGACAGGAAGACAGACCCTACTTCCACAACCTGGTAGGGATGCTCATGAGAGTGGCCACTGATGATTAATTGCATTGCCGTGGCTCCCAGAGATGCCACGTGATCGAGAGCAACGGAACTAGTCACCGTCATGGAGAGAAAACACAGAAGCACCTACCAGAATTAAAGAGAGACCAATTTATTTTCCCTTTCACCTTCCCCTTTCACCTTCTTGAGGTCTGTCGGGAATTTGGGGACCTCAGCCTTTTCTTAAGCCTCATTTGTTCACTGGCCCCTCTGTCAGAGCCCAGCCACGTGGCTGCCAAAAGGGATGAGAGACTGACAGCCTCTTGACCCTCTACAGTACCTCAAAGTCTAAGACATGGGAAAAAAAGGCATCCGTTCTTCCTCTTTCTCCACTCTCCTCATTCCCTACCCTTTTTAAGTATACTGAAGATGGGCTATTTCCCAAGTGTTGACTTGTAAGAACAGGTTGTGGGTGCAGGCTGGCAGCTGTGACACTTGAGACCGCTGGTGCCCCAGAAGCTGTACTTTAAGCTCAGGGCATGGGTGTCCTGGGGACAGGGCCAGGCCCACCCAGGCCAGAGTGGGGCGGGTGGGGTTTGGGAAGCCAAGGAAGATACTTTCTGGTAGGCACCTGGTCGGTGTACTGGGCAGGTCCGGAGTTGTAGGGCTGATATGACGGAAGGAGTCTTAGATCTGCTTGGAGACTTGGCCCTACCTGATATTAAGGTATTTTATAAAACAATGGATGGTTGTCTTGACAGAGCTGAACGTTCAGGAATAGACCCAAATATATAACAAGGATTTAGTAACTGATAATGGTGGTCTTGAAACTGTCCTTGGGAGCTGCAGGGTTCCTGACAATGGCTGGCTGCTGAGGGAAGGCCAGGCTGGGGACTGTTGCAACCCAAGCAGCTCTTTGGTTTTGTTTTAGATAATAAGGTTCCTGACAAAGTTGCATTTGAAATAAATGGTGTTGAGAAAGCTGGTTAATCATTTGGGGGAAAATGAGGGTTTTGCCCTTTGGTCAGTCATGTTTTTCTTGCCTTCTCACTGGAGGAAGAGGGTTCTAGCCTCCTCAGTTGGGTGTCCCCAAAGGTCAGGAACTCTGACCCTTCCCTCTGTGGTTAAAAGGGCCTCCAGCTTAGCAGGTTAACCCGGTTTGGCCTTTGGTTTCCATGTTTCCATGTATGGCTGAAGGTAGGTGTTGGGGTTTGGTGTGCACCTCTTTGATATCTCAGTTTTAATCCAGGGAGGAGCTTTCTGTGATTGACATTTTTCTTTTCATAGAGGGATGATGTTTGTTTGCAGTGGGGCAGAGTTGAAATGGGGCCTTTGTTAGCTGACCTGTTTTGGCAGTGAGGGTGTCCTAAGCCCTCGCCAGAGTAGGGTATGCAAAAAGCTTTTGAGGACAGGAAAGGGCAAAGCAATACCTTCTGTTCCCCTCACCCCCTGGCACCCGGAGCTCTCCCTGGAGTTGGCAGTAGCTTCCTATCTCGCTGCCACCTTTGCATTCTCTGTCTTGTCTAGGCCAGAAAAAGGTTGTCTGGGGTCGTTTCTCCCCTTCCACAGCAAAGGACAGGACCACTATTTTTTATTTTTTTAAGATTTTATTTATTTGAGAGAGAGCATGAGGGGGGGAGGGTCAGAGGGAGAAGCAGATTCCCCGATGAGCAGCGAGCTGGATGCAGGGCTCGATCCCAGGACCCTGGGATCATGACCTGAGCCAAAGGCAGACGCTTAACGACCGAGCCACCCAGGCGCCCCCTCACTCCATCTTCTTCGGGGCATCCGGGATGCTCTCAGACAGTGGGGTGAAGCCCAGCAGGAGGATGTCTCTCTCATAGGCCTTGGTCTGCTTAAACATTGTGTCGGTCCCATGGAGGTGGTCCAGCACTCCCAGCACCCCATAGCACTGGCTAAACCTAGAGGAGAGAGGAAGGTGCGGGAGGCTGGTGTGCTGTTCTTTTCATTCGTGCCAGCCTCACATTTCTAAGCCTTCTTACCCCAAACCCATCCTCAACCACGCTGACCACCCCCATCAGAATATCCCCGGGAATTGTACACATTCCTGGGGCCACTCCAGACTGAAAACCTACAGATCATAGGTTTGAAAAACTATGTGAGTCCGATGCACACAAGTCAGAACGTGTGGCAGAGCTTGCCTTGTTCAGGTAGGTTCAGGGGCCACCTCCATCAGAATCCCCTAGGACACTTAACTAAAATGCAGTTTTTCAAGTCCTGCTGCCCCCTGCACTTTGATTCCGCACATCTGGAGTGGAACCCAAGAACCTGCATTTCATCAAGGTGTCTCAGGTGATTATGGTGCTGGAGGTTTGTAGACCACACTTGCAAAAGCCTGGAGGCTTTCAGAGAGGACAACCCCTTGAATTGTGTGCAGTATTTCTATGTGTATATGCATTGTTCTGACAGTGCCCATAGCTTACATTAGATACTCAAAGGGCCCAGGACCTGAGTAAAGGTTAAAAACCCACAGCTGCAGGAAGACCCAGTGTCAGGAAGAAGGAAAAGAGCAAGGTGATCTGGGTCCAGCCTGTTCATTATTCTCCCAACTTCCAGACCTCTCCCTCCCATAGCACCAGCACATTGACACTGAAACACCGGGGTCATGTCTGCTCCTGGAAGCTCCAGGAGGGAAGGTGAAGGCTATTGCCCAGGGACCCATAGTGGGGAAGGAGGTCTTACTCGAGGTGGTGGTAGTCATGGAATTCAGGTGAAGGCAGGAAAGGTAGGTGGTAGCCACAGTGGGAAATGGTGGTGATGATGAGGGCCAAGGAGAACCACATGGTGATGGAGGACAAGTGGGAGCCCATTACTATGGGACCCACCATCACCGGCAGCATGTTGGAGGTCTGCAAAGGGAGGGCTGTTTGAAGGTGGGCCCTAGAGAGATGGAGGGGACCCAGTGGGTGTCCACTTTGCCCCAGGGTGGTACCAGGAAGACTTTCTTGACTCAGATCTGGAGAAACTGAGAGTTGCAGGACCTTGATTCGCTGGAATCATTCAACTTTATAACTTTGGGACAAGTTACTGTTTGAGATAACTTAAACGTTGGGCATCTCGCATAGACTAGGTCAACAAAAAATGGTAGCTGCTGAATGGGAAGAAGGGAGAGGGGGCACTGTGGTCTAATTCTCTGCGGGAGGCCTCAGGGAAGGTGGTTGGGGCCCTCTGCCCTTTGCCTGGAGGAGAGCTTTACTGACCACATGATCAATAGGGTGGCTGTATAAAGAGATCACGCCAATGGGAGCTGTCCACTCATGGTGTTTCTTGTGGATTTTCTTGTAGAATGTTGGGTGGTGAAGGAGCCTGGGAAAATAGTTAGTAGTTAATAATCTGCCAATCTCCTTTCTCCCTTTCCCACCAGGCCATGAGAAACCAAAGGTAGGACTATGGAGCAAAGTTTCAAACGCATTGGATTGGCACTTGGACAGACCTGCCTTCGAGTTCTAACCCCACCTCTTATGCTGCATAATTCGGGGGTGGGTTACTTTGCGCCTCTCTACCTCAGTTGTACTAGCTGTGGGGCTGGTGGGGATGGTGCCCACAAAGGATTCAATAAGGAAACGAATGGGAAACTGCCCCACTGCACACATGAATGCGGAAGGCTCTTTTTTTCCTAGACATTTCTCAGTTGCCTCAAGTTGTCAGTCGTGGAACAAACAGTTGTGTCCATGTTAACTAAGAAGAGGCTTTTGAGGCCAGGTGGTGTTGGTCTTACACCTACAATTCTGAGGCCTCAGTTTCCTCCCTTAAAAGTGAGCCCTAGGAGAGTGAGGAACCAGCTGTGCTTGGGCCAGGACCCGCTCACCGGTGCGAGTAGTAGAACAGGACTTCCTCAATCAGAGTGAAGATAGCCAGCTCCAGGAGGAACCAGTGGAAGGTGGGTAGCTCTCGGTGGCAGGGGTCTCCCCGCAGCTTGAGGATGGGATAGAGGAAGACCAGCATGGGCAAAGAGATCACGACCTGGTTGAAGAGAACTGTGCGGATACACTGCCGTAGTTTCTTGGTGTCCACCTGCCCGAGGTAAGGAAGGAGGAAGATGGACAGGAGTGTGAGAACTAGGTCTTTCTAGAAACGGCTTCATGGTGACCTGCTCACAGGAAGCCCTCACTCTGGGGTGGATGCTAGGTGTGACGTTTGGCCATAGCCAGCAGCCCCTCACTGCTGCCCAAGCCTTGCGGTGGAACCATCTGGCGATACCCCTGCTTTTGGAAACTCCCTTCTCAGTAGCCTTCAGTCAGCCTTCTCCTTCCTGCACCTGTCACCACTGTTCTCCCCATTTCTCTGGCCAGGCCCAGACGTACTTCCTGACAGGCACCGTAGGGTGCCTCCAGGGTGCTTAATGAAGGCTGTCAACTCTCAGGTTGATATCCTTATTCAGCCTTTGAGCCCCTCCTCATCCACAGAGGCTTGACCATGACCAGGTGCAGAGCAAGGTCACCTGCCTCCTCATGTGGCCCAGCCTCCCTGGACGAGGCCCAGAGTGATGAGAAGGTGAGCCAGAGAACTGCCTATCCAGGTCTTGACTGAACTTCCTGTGACTTGGTCTTCCTGGTTTTCATGGTGGGGCTGTCCGGATGGGGACCTGCCTGAGCATTCTGTCCAGGTTTTCTTTGGAGAGCTGGCCCCAAATCTCCTACCCCGCTGAGCCTCAATACTATAGCCAGCATTTGCCCAAGAATTAGTACCTGGTCCTTCCCTTCCTCAGAGCACTGGGGCTCCCTGGAATAGCCCCATGACCACAGGTCACTTCCTGGGTCCCGATGAACTGGTTTGGGACTGGTCAGAAGGAATTCTCCCTGAGTGGCCTCCATGAGCTGGAGGGGTTCTGGCTGCAAGGTAAGGCTGAGTTCTAAGAGGCCCTCAGGCTTCAGGCCTTGCTCTTCCTCTAGCTTTTTCAAGTACTGCACGCACTAACTGACTCGAATCCACTCTCTAAGCTTTCAGTTCCATCCCACGGTGAAGCCAGGTCTGGCTAGCCTGGTTTGAGAGCACCTGTAGATAAAGCCATCCATCTCTTCTGGAAATCTTTACCAAGAGGAGGGCATCACATGTTTACTCGTTCATTTATTCGGCTGATATTTCTTGAGCACCCTCTACATTGCAGGCAGTGTCCTGTATGCTGGGAAGCAAGCAATGAGCAAAACAAAGATTCCTTCCCTCATTGAGTTTCTATTCCTGGCACCAATAATCTTAAATAGAATGGTCAGGGTGAGCTTTGTTGAACAAAGAGATGAGGATGATGAGGGAAAAGATACCTGGGGGGAGAGAGTCTTCAGGCGAAGGGCGTAGCTGGTGAAAAGGTTCTTGGCACATTGCAGGCATCCTTGACTGGCGAGGAGGCCGAGAAGTAGGAGGTGATGCCAAAATGGTGGTGAGGAGCGAGAACATAGACGGCCTTGTAGGTCATTGGGAAGACTGGCTTTTACTCCAAGGGAAATGGGGGGTCATGGTGAGCAGAGAAGTGACAAACTCTTACAGGATTACTCTGGCCACTGTGTTGACCACAGACTGTGGAGGAGGCAAGAATAAACACAGAATTGCCGTCCTATAGATAGAAGAGAATGACAGCTCAGAGCAGTGGAGGTAGTGAAGGGCAGCCCTGCCATGAACTCAGACTGGGGAGGTTGTGGGTGGCAGTCTTTGAGGGGATGAACAGAAAGTCTCTTGGGGACATGTTGGATGGGAGTCGTCAAAGAGGCCTTTGGCAATCTGAGCCTGGAATTCAGAAGAGAGTTCTGGGCTAGAGATAGGAATTTGTGGGCTGTCGGCATAGAGATTGTATTGCAAGTCACGACCCTGGAAGAGAGACATGCGGGAGTGAAGACAGAGGCGGGCAGAAAGGCCTGAACCCTGGGAAGCTTAGCATTAAGAGGCGGGAGAGAAGATAGACCAGAAGGAAGACCATGAAGGAGCGGCCACTGAGATGGGGGGAGAAGTGGAGAAGCCAGGTAGGAGAATATATAGCAAGAATGCAGAGACACGCAGCTGTGAAGACATGCCTGCCAGGGCGAACGAGAGGAGGCTTCGAGAGCAGCGGGGGTGGAGCAGTTGGGGTGAAGGCCTGACCAGAGGAGGTTCACAGAAGAGGTGAGATGATGGGTTTGTGGTTATTGGGGAAATACCGGCTGAGGGATTGAGGGTGAGGTTCGTCATGTTTGGAACTTACTTTCAAATGGTTAAGCTAAAAATTATAGATGCATACGTATTTGTATTTTTACATCTAGATAATGCAAATACTGTAAAATGTTTAAAAGCGAATCTAAGCAGTGCATGAATGAGTGATCATTATACTCCTTTTTTTCAACTTCTGTATCTATGTTTACAATTTTTCATAATTACAAAATGTTGGGAGAAAAGTGTGGACAGAGAGGAGCTGGAAACTGGACAGACAACTCTTTCCAAGAGGCTGGTTGCAGGTATTGCTCGCAGGCTGGTGTGGAGAGAGTCTGTGGGATCTCTCTTCTGCTTGCCTATTCCTTAGTGAAGGAGGAAGCAAGGCTGTCCTCCTGCAGGTCAGGGAAGGAGATGTTGGGGATGTGAGGAGGGAGGAGAAGGTGCAAACTGGCTATCCAGGGGAGCAGGAGAGCAAACAGGGCAGGGGGCTGGTGGCCTGCGGGGGCCCACGCTGTAGGAGCACTGGACCCGGAGTCCGACGACAGGAGCCCTGGCTCTGCCTCCTAGTGACACTCTGACCCTGAGCTAGTCACTGCTCCTTTCAGAACCTCAGCTTCTACAACATGCAACCAGACCTTCCCTGTGTGGCTTTCCAACCACTGTAGGCTGTCACAATGAGTGTTGTCATGGTAGGTGATACTCTTGATAGCTGATGTGGCCTGCTGGTGAGAGCTTGAGCCCCGGGGTCAGAGAGCTGGAGCATGAATCATCTACCCATGTCACATCTCAGAGCCTGTTTCCTCATCTGAACCATGAAGGTTGTGACAGTACCTGGCCTTGAGCATTTACTCCACGGGGTCTGATAAGGACACCGCCATGGTCTGACAGATGAAGGGCTCTCAACAGCCAAGTGTTGGCTTTGACACGTCAGCCCCAGTCCATGCCTGCCAAACTGGACCTGGAGGAAGCCCCCTGGCTGGCTGGCCGTTACCATCTCAGGTGAGCGGGGCTGTGAGCCTGGCCAGCAGCCCTGGTTCAAGAAGGGGCTACTCTGAAAGCCTGGGTCAAGGGCATTATTTTTCACCCATTCTGCTTTCTGCAGTGCTGGGCTGGGGCAGAATGCCCTGATGCTGAGATGGGCCACCTAGGCACCTGGGCCGATAATTAAAAGATGATTGTCTTCTCTGGGAAAGAAGCCAGAATGTGGTTTGGGTGGAGCTGGGGAAAGAATCTGGGGTAAAGAACGAACTTCTTGCGTAAGAAAAGGCTCCTGGAGGTTGTCAGAGCACCAAGCAGGTGACTGGGCTCGGGGCACAGTGGGGCTCCCTTCCAGCGCTGTGTAAGTCGAAGACGTGTGTACTGGTGTTCTCTCTCCTACTGGGCTAGGAGTTCCTTGTAAGCAGGGTGCAGGCCTCGTTTCGTGGGGCTAAACTACGCACTGGCAGTTGAAGTGAATGACTGGGAAGGAGGACCTGCTTAAAAAGCAGCCACCGCCCACACATTCAGACCCCTGTATCCACAGTGGGCCAGCCACCATGTCATCCGTGCTTTTGGCATCCAGCCACTGCTGTCCCTACCCCGGCTGCTGAGCAGGGAGCTGCCGGACATCTCTGCACTCACCCCAGTACCAGGCTTAGCCCATCATTTCCATTCCCCAAATGCTGACCACAGTGCTGTGGGGGTGGCACAGGCAGGCACAGGGCCAGGGCTGGGAATCAGAAGACCAGAACATTTTGTCCTGCCTGGCTGGCTCTGAGATCTGGGGCAGATTATTTCCTCTCTCCAACCTTCTCAACCAGGGGAGCCTTGTACCCAGTTACTTGGCTCCCAGTGGCCATGCTCTCTCCTGGGCCTGTGGTGAGCATTGTGAGTGTGGCTTCCGCTCTTGCCTTCTGTGCTTTGCCCAGGAGAAGCCACCGCAACACTTACTGGTTCATTCTTGCCAACCTGAATTCGGTAGCGGGAGATGAAGTTAGGTTTTCCCGTTGTGTCAACCACTAGGAGAAGCCCACTGAAGCTCCAGAAGACTAGACTGGGTACTTCGATGACACCTGAGGTTGGGGAGCAGAAGAAAACAATCAGGGGACTCGAGGTTCTTGCAGCACATGTATTAACTTAACACAGCTTGACGGTGACTAAGGCTGCGTGGTAGACAGTCCCTTGCCAGGGAGGTCTCGGTGCTCCAGGCCAGAGGGCCTTAGTTGTAAAATGGAGACCGCGGGAGCCTGGGTGGCTCAGTTGGTTAAGCGACTGCCTTCGACTCAGGTCATGATCCTGGAGTCCCGGGATCGAGTCCCACATCGGGCTCCCTGCTCAGCGGGGAGCCTGCTTCTCCCTCTGACCCTCTTCCCTCTCATGCTCTCTCTCATGCTCTTCTCTCAAATAAATAAATAAATAATCTCAAAAAAAAATGGAGACCACAACCTTCTAGGTGGTTGAAGACAAAAAAATTTGAAAAATTTTAAAATTGTTAAATAGAAATAAAATTTATAATAAATATATAATCCATAAATATAATAACAAATAAACAAACTACAAATAAATTTAGGTTGACATCTGGGAGTCAGTGCCTATTGAACACTATGAATTCCCAAGGAAGATAGAAGCAGAGTAAGTGCTTGGTAGGATAGGGTTCCCAATGAGCACTGGACTAGGAGTCAGTCAGGAATCTAATCCCTATGACCCTATTAACTGAGCAGTGGGACTTCAGGCATCTAGCCAGCCGTTCCCAAAGTGGAAAACTCCTCTCTCAAGGCGCTCCTTGGTTAAACAGTGTTCATACCCCACTTTCTTGGAGGGCCATGGTCCAGACTAGCCTGCTAATGGCTCTAAGAATTCCTGCAGCAGAGAAACCCATTTGACTTTGTTAAGCCCAGCCTTTCCCAGTCTTTTTTTTTACCGAGGAACTCTATTTTGTCAGAACACCTAATAGGATGGCTGTGCCCGGGACAGTTGCAATTTACCTCAGGCTGTCTAGCCTAATTATTAACTAACACCTCATTTATTCTCACAAATGTCCCACTTTGGATGATAAATTGTACGGCCACCCCACCCATTCACAACCCATAACACTGATGTTCTGCAGGATACTTTAGAAACTGCTGATCCACAGTTAAAAAATTGAGATACGGCTTTTTTTTGCTCTGCATCCCACCTTCCTGTAAAGTCATTCCGAGAATCTCTGATCTCTGTGAACAAACAAGCACTTTGTTCACGCTTATTGGCAGTTATTCAAATGACAATACAATGTTACCTAACTCTTACACTATTAACTTTGTCCATGTCTTGCCTCCTCCTAAATATCCCAAGGGGCAAGGGCATTTTACTTTGTGTCTCTGTACTGTTCCTCCCATACCCTTCTTGCCCCTACCAGAAACCCCAGGGCCTGTGGCATTTGGGGCCCGAAAAATACTTGGCCAGCACTGTGGGGAAATATGATTAACACAATATCTTAGGGAGCAATTTGGCAGTATCCAAAGAAGAAAAAGAGAGTGACAGAAACAGGGGAGAAAAAAGAAAGAAAGAAAAGAAAAGAAAAGAAAAAGAAAGAAAGAAAGAAAGAAAGAAAGAAAGAAAGAAAGAGAAAGAAAGAAGGAAAGAAAGAAAGGAAAGAAGGAAAGAAATAAAGAAAAAGGCCACACATGTCCATACACATATACATCCATTAGTGCATTAAAAAAATCACAATAGAACACTTAAGGAGACTGAAAAAAATAGTTGGTACCTTGTAAGTTCACCCATATATCCAATATAGATTCTTCTATATTTATACTAATTTATATACTATTTATACAATTTATACTAATATATTAACTGTGGTTATTTCTTGGATATGAGAGTAGGTGATTTTCACTTTCTTTAGGCTTATTTGAATCGTCTGATGTTTATTTTTAACAATGAACATGTATTTACTTTTATTCTCAGAAATCTCATGCTTTCTTATTTTGGAAAAAAAAAGAAAATGTTAGGTTGGTGATTGCTAGTGGGCCATCCATCAAGGTAGCGCCTCCTTATAGATCCAAAGGCTCCTTGAGGAATACAGAATAAAAGCCCCAGCAAGAGAAGATGTTGCACTTTTTTCCAGCTGTAACACTTAAAATTGCAAACATTTATCTCCTTTGTATTTGCTTTTCATTGGGCTGAAAGGCAGCTTTCCCATCATTGTAACAGGAATACATCAAATGTTTTCCCACCACTTTCCCCATATGTTTGTAATCTGCATTGTTCTTTTCAGTGACTCTTCAATGACAGCTTGCATTGAACCTGTCCTATCTAATGTTTAGCCTGTTTTCAGAGTTCTTCCAGCTGAAAACAATTGTCAGTGACATTTTATTTGTACTTTTGCTCTGTGACAGCAGGCAATTTTTTTTTTAAATCTCCCCTTCTAGACTGTGACATAGTTTTTTTAGTATTATTTCTTAAAAGATTTATTTATTTATTTTGAGAGAGTGTGTACACGTGGGAGGCAGGGGAAGGGGGGAGAGGAGCAGAGGGAGGGGAGGCAGAGAATCCCAAGCGGACTCCCCACTGAGCGCCGAGCCTGCTTTGGGGCTCCATCCCAGGACCCTGCGATCATGACCTGAGCTGAAATCAAGAACTGGGCGCTTAACGGACTGAGCTGCCCAGGTGCCCCTGTGACATAGTTTTTTAAATGAGGTAAACACTTTATCTGAAATATCTACATCCTCTGTAAAAATTTGGCACAGAGTAAATTAATAAATATTCTTTGAGTGAGTGAACCTGTGATTGAGGACATTCATCATTGTAGGTAACGCTGTTATAAATATCTATGCCTTTTTTCTCCCCCCACATTTTCTTTGGCTCGTTGTGAGTCATTCACAATGTCAGTAAATATTTATTAAGTGACCACTTGCTGTCAAGCCCCAAGAGCTAGATTATACCAGGGGTGAGGACACAGTCTCATGGGAGATAGAGCAGCTCTGTGTGCTTGTGGACCTGGTATCCAGATGCAGGATTATTACTCTAAACATGCATTCATTTTCACAAACACGTGTTTTTTTTTAATTTTTCTATTTTTGGGGGGAGGGGAGTCTCAGGTTCTTTTCTTAGATATCCTTAGGCATCCATTTCAGATGGCCTATGATTAGCACTCTTTGGGATTACCACTGTCTTAAACTTTTCAGTCTTCATTCCTTGGAATAAGGAGCTGAGAAATCAAAGTAGAGAAGAAAACCACAGACAAAGAATTAAGCTATGATCATGTACCCAAACCCCAAGCACTCGTGGTCTGGGAACCTCACCTATAACGTAGAGGGTCCACTCCTTCCCTTCAAATCTCGACAGCAGCCTCTCCCACTGGGCTTGCCAAAAATAGCCAGAAGTGCCCCAAAATCTCTGAAGATGCCTTGGAAGAAAAACCATTCGGGTTTCTGGGTGAAGACTGGTGGGTGGATAGCTGCTTACCCCATGCTCCTCCTCCAGACCCCCAGCACACTGCCCGCAGGTCCTGAATGCAAGCTGGCTGCACAGACTTACCATGTGACTGTGTTCCAGAAGGCCACAAGCAAGAGAAGGCCAGAGCCCAGGATGAAAGCTGTCTTCCTCATGGAGGCCCAGATGTGTCCCTCCTAGAGGAGAACAAGGAAGTGTCAGGCCCCAGCAAGCCTCCTGCCATCACAGGCAGCTCACACTGAGTCCTGGCACGGAAGATGTGGGATCGGGATCTCAACCACGTCAGAGTTGCACATCTGCTGGCCTTTTCCCAGCCTCTGTGGGAGGCTCTTCCTTATCAAGAGCTCGTGAGCTGTATATGGGTATGCCAAGAAGAAAGGATGGGACTTGAGACTGGGTGAGAAGACATTTGGCAGAGCCAGCCTGAGCCCCATACACCTCAGGTGATGGCCATTCCCTTTACCAGCCCACAGCCCATAGCTTACCCAGCCGGGGTTGACAGTGAAGTCCCCAGAACCACGTCAGGAACAAGTCTAAACTGCAGTTTCCTAGGCTCTACCCTAAGAGACTCTGATTTTGAGCGTAGCCTGGAAATCTGGGTTTCAGCCAACCCCCGGGGTGACTCTGATGTAGGGGTTCCCAAGGTACCTCTGGGCAAACACTGGCCCAATGAACCAGAGCCTCTGCTCGATCCATCTACTCAACGTACATGTGCTACGCACCTCCTATGCGAAGGCCCAAGGAAAGACACACCAGAGAGCCCGTCCTCATGGCCCTTACAGCCTCCCAGCAGAGATCACGCAAGTGGGGGACCCTGTTGTTATTCTCATTTTACAGCGAAGGAGACCGAGGCTCAGAGGGGACATTTTGACCGAGGTCATAAAACCAGTAAGTGATAGACACAATTATGATAGAACCTTGAGGAAAGGTGTCAGATTTCCAGACTCACTGTCATAATGATTCCTGCATACAAATATACCCAGCATACGAGTCCTGTTGAACAGTTTACAAAATACTTCTATTTCAGTTAGCATTGCAAATACAGCCTCTGTGTGCGGTAACCTGAGTTCACAGAGCTTACACAAGCTGTCCACGCAAATCAGGGGCCAGGCCCTGGCTTCAGTCCTGCTGTCTTGGGGCTATAGGCCATCAGTAGTTAGGGCACAGCGGAGATGCAGAGGAAAGACTGCCTCTGAATGAGACAGGGCTGTGCTGAGGCAGGGAGTGAAGCTATTCCAAAGAAGGATTTGTCATAGCTCATCTCATAGAGAGCCATTTCCATGCAGATGGAGTCCCCCATTGCCACCCGTTGCCAACTCTCTGATTCCAGTTACCAATTTCCAGAGGTGGAGCCTGGACAGAGGTTCTGTAACCCCCCAGATGATTTTAATGAGTGGCCAGCATTAAAAACCACAGCAATCCATTCACCTTGACTTTCTTCGGTCTCTACTTCCTTGGTTGCCTCTGAACATGACATCATGACTCACTGGTGCTTTCTTATTCCAGATGAAGGAAGAAGCAAGAAGAGTGCAACAGAGTGAGAAGCCAAAGCAGGTAAATACCAACACCATGCTAGTGAGAAGGCAGCCACTGACTTCTTCCATAGCGGCACGTGCTGCATATCTGAGGTCTCCCCCAAGGTTTAGGGGTAGCTGACACATTGGTGGTGTGCTCATTTCAGTAGCTAAGCAAAGACCACTGGACTCCCAGCTGCCGTGTAACTCAAGCCCCTTTGCCCGCATGAGGGAGCATGACTGGGGAGGGAGTAGCTGAAAAGCCTGATAGCTGTCCTCCATTGTCTCTTGGCCCCTAAGAATGTCCCATCCCTCAGGCCTTTGAAACCACCCCTTTCTATAACTGCTCCGGAGATGGGAGAAGCCCACTAGGGGCTGGGGAACCAGCTCTTTCTTTTTTTAAAGATTGTATTTATTTATTCCACAGAGAGACACAGTGAGAGAGGGAACACAAGCAGGGGGAGCGGGAGAGGGAGAAGCAGGCCTCCTGCTGAGCAGGGAGCCCGATGCAGAGCTCGATCCCAGGACTCTGGGATCATGACCTGAGCCGAAGGCAGACGCCCAACGACTGAGCCACTGAGGCGCCCCTGGGGAACCAGCTCTTGACCCCAGCTGACTTCTGCCCTGTGCTCTTGTACTGCACAAAGACCTTTGGCCTGTTTATAGTCCTTTCACTTGGGCTGCCAGAGAGAGAAAACACAATCCCTGAAAAAAAAATTAGCTAATCTTATATGCGAAATTGAGGTTTTTAATTTGATTTAACTTGATCTGATTGCACTCAAATGAAAAATTCCTAGCGAGTCTGGAAAAATTCATGAAAAGGATCCTCTGAATACTAAAAAAGGAATAATTGCAAAGCCCAAGTTAAATGTCTGGCAAGCTTGAGGGTGACCTTTCAGTGGCCTGCTTAAAAGAACAAGTTCCTCTGATTGGTCCTACCCATCCAGCCCTCAAGGAGAGAGGGAAAAGTTCATTTCCAGAACTCAGGACCCTGAGGAGCACTAGCGCTTCAAAAACTTTTCGCTGGCCACGGAAAACAATTTCGTTCTCTTGGGTCTTTCAATCAGAAGTGGGAGGGGGTAAGCTGAAAATAAACAATCCAGGGCAGACTCAGGGTGCTCTGAATGGGTCAGTCCAAACAGCGTGCTCCTTCAGAACTCCGAAGTCTGGATTAAAATGTAGCATCCTATTAGAGCAGCTTCTCTTCCCCCAACATCCCCCTGAGCCCGTGCCCACGGTCTGATTCACTACCTGCCGAGGAACTTCAGGCACACACCTAGAGGGACCACCACATCCAGTTCTCTCCCAGGAAAGGATATACGCAGACTCCATCTGGGCTTAGAAATAGCAGAGGGAAGGGACGTTTGTAATTTCTGCCCAAGGTACAACGGAAGTTGGTGGCATAGCCGGTAGCATTTTCCTTCTCCAAATCTGGCACCTCGTTTGACCATCGAGCTTGCAATGATGTCTACTTCAGACTCTTGGAGGAGACTAGGTCAGGGACCTCCCTGTCATTGCCAGGTGTTTTTATTTCTCCTGGATATGTGCCTAGGGGCAGAAGTGCTGGGTCCTACAGTCACGACATTGAACCTTTTCGGGAATGTAAAGTGGTTGCACCATTTTACATTTCCAACAGCAGTGTATGAGGGTTCTAATCTTAGATCCTCACCAACACTATTTATTGTCCCTATGGAAGAGTGTCATAAGCTGGCTGAAGAGGAGCATTACAGATCATGTGGTCCTGCCCTGTGATGAGGATGAAGGAACCTAGATAAAGGAGGGCAGGCAACCGCCCAGAGTTTGTAGATGGCACAGCCAGGATCAGAGGCTAGCTTTCAATATTTCTAAGGATATTTTATTCTTTTGTGTTTGATTGTTCTCGGTTGTATGATTCTAGGTGCATGTTTACCAGCTATGACCTTCAGAAATACCGCTTCTCCTTGACCCACATTTCTTGTAGATTACTTCGGCTGGAGAAAGACCACAGTGACCTATGAAGTGTCTTCCAGAGTTTGAGAGTGAGGACAGCAGGAAGGGGTGATATGCAAGCTGCTCACCATCTCCACTGGGATGACATTATGCAGGAGGAATGCGGTCAGCTCAGAGGAAAAGCTGTCAGGGAGGAATACGGGGACATTTTATACCCAGTCAGGGACACAGCACCTGATTTTAGGAGAAGTACCAGAGGGCTTAGTGTGCTGTCAGCCCAATCCCCACTTGGAGGCAGGAGAAAGAATTTCAGCCACTCTTTGGCCCCCACCCCACCTCCCCACTTGAGGCCAGCTTCCTTGTCACCCCTGCTTCTTCTTCCAGCTCCCTCTGTTGCAGATGAACCTGTTAGCAGGCCTGTAAGTGTGGAGTTCTGCCTCACTGTGAGTTCTCATGAAAAGCAAAGAGAAACAATGGATTGGAGCAAAGCCACCAGCATTCACTCTTGTCTGACCTGGGATGGCAGCCAGAAGTTCTTTGCTTGCTTGGGTGCTAGTGAGTGCTCCGTAGTCATATTCCTTACCACCCGAGGCTTCCAGAATCATAGCTGAGCAGGCACTGCAGGATGGCAAGTTTCAGCCCCAACCTGTGGCGAACACCTTTGCACCCCATCTCGGACGGCACATGTTACTTAATGTGGGTTTAAAAGGATTTCCAAAAACTCTCCCTTAAATAACAATTTTCTCCATCTGCACTGTCTTGAGCCGTTCCTGTTGGCCCCATTCCAAGTTTGCTCCACATCCTCCATGTGGATGGGGCCCGTCCCGAGAAGTCACCCTTTACACAGGGATAGGATTCTTGGACAAGCCAAGGTCGTTTTCAATCTGGCAGTTTGCCACCTGGAGTTCTGAAAAGCACAGAGCTTTCAGCATGAGGAAGGTAATGGTGCTAGTACCTTTGCGGCTAAGCCTGTCAAGTGTCTTAATGATAAGGAACCAAGTGTCAAAGGAAGCACCGTAAGCTGAGAAAGACTTGGGGATCTCAATGTCTGCCAATCATTTGCACACAGGTAGAACTTTTCTATCACCTTGCATTTCCCTCCTCAGTTCCTGCTGGGAAGTGGGAAAGACTCTGTTGACCCTGTTGAGATCACCATCTCTTCTGGGGAAGGAAAGAGAAGGATTGGGGGTTTATTTGTTAAGCTTCCAGGACTGCTCTACTGTGGGAACTTCACTTATAAGCCAGACTCTCATCCTAACTTTTTCCCCATTAGCATCACCATTATCTTTGCCAAGAGCTTGTGAAGCTAATGCGACATGGTTTCTTACCTTTGGAAGCTCATCCATTCCTTCCAGGAACATTTACAAAGAACTTACCTTGTGGAAGGAACCCTGGAGATGCAAGGATAAATGAGAAACTATCAGTTTAGATACATAAACCCATCATTCCAAAATCTGTATGGAAAGTACTTGGCGAGAGGTCCAGGCCAGAGCTAAGAAAATACTGAGTAGGGCAGGAGATCCAGCATACCCAAGAAGTCTTTAGAGGAGGACAATGCCCAGGTTTTCTCTGCACTCTTAGACAACACGATCTCCACCTCAAAACTTAACCTTTTCCTCCCGGATTTCATCTTAGCTTATCTAAGGAATGTTGTGTTTTAGTTAGATTATACTTTTTAAATCTTTTTTTTTTAAAGATTTTATTTATTTGAGAGAGAGCACAAGCCAGGGGGGAGAGGCAGAGGAAGAGGGAGAAGCAGACTCCCCACTGAGCAGGGAGCTCAATGCAGGGCTCAATCCCAGGACCCCGGGATCATGATCTGAGCCGAAGGCAGATGCTCAACTGACTGAGCCACCCAGGAGCCCCTACATCATACTTAAAAAAAAAAAAAAGGGCAAGATAGATGTCACAAAAACAGACACATAGATCAATGGAACAAAACAGAAAACCCAGAAATGAACCCACAATTATATGGTCAATTAATCTTCAACAAAGCAAAAAAGAATATCCAATGGGAGAAAGACTGTCTCGTCAACAGTGTTGGGAAAACTGGACAGCGACATGCAAAAGAATGAAACTGGATCACTCTCTTACACCATACACAAAAATAAACTCAAAATGGATTACAGACCTAAGTTTGAGACATGAAACCATAAAAGCCCTTGAGGAAAGCATAAGCAGTAATTTCTCAGACATCGGCTGTACAACTTTTTTCTAGATAGGTCTCCCGAGGCCAGGGAAACAAAAGCAAAAATAAACTACTGGGGCTACATCAAAATAAAAAGGTTCTGCCACAGCCAAGGAAACAATCAACAAAACTAAAAGGCAACCTATGGAATGGGAGAAGATATATGCAAATGACATATCTGATAAAGGGTTAGTATCCAAAATATATAAAGAAATTATCAAACTCAATGCCCCCAAAATGAATAATCCAATTAAAAATGGGCAGAAGAGCACTGGGTGTTATACGCAAACAATGAATCATAGAACACTACATCAAAAACTAATGATGTAATGTATGGTGATTAACATAACATAATAATAAAAAATAATTAATTAATTAATTTAAAAAAATGGGCAGAAGACACGAATAGACACTTCTCCAAAGAAGACATCCAGATGGCCAACAGACACATGAAAAGATGTTCAACATCACTGATCATCAGGGAAATGCAAATCAAAACTACAATGAGAGATCACCTCACACCTGTCAGCATGGCTAAAATCAACAACACAAGAGAACAACAGGTGTTGGCAGGGATGTGGAGAAGAGGGAACCCTTTTGCACTATTGGTGGGAATGCAAACTGGTGCAGCCACTCTGGAAAACAGTATGGACGTTCCTCAAAAAGTTAAAAATAGGGGCACCTGGGTGGTTCAGTTAAGTGTCTGCCTTCGGCCCAGGTCATGATCTCAGGGTCCTGGGATCGAGTCCCACATTGGGTTCCTTGCTCAGCAGGGCGTCTGCTTCTCCTTCTCCCTCCCCTTGCTCATGCTCTCTCTCGCTCACTCTCTCTTTCAAATAAATAAAATCTTAAAAAAAAAACTTAAAAAAATCAAAATAGATGTATGAATCTACCACATGAATATCAAAACTGCCATTGAAGATATTCCCTACTCCATTTTATCTTACTCTCCAAAAGAAGCAATGTACTTTGTATGAAGATATGGATGCTAAATTCTATAAAGAAATTAGTGTACAGTTTTCCTCTTTGGAAGAAGTGGTATGCTTTTTTGTAAAATGCAAAATTTTGAGTCAATCCATTTTGGTCCCTCCACCTCTACCTTTTCGCTTTGGCTGCCAGTAAGCTCAGAGTTAAGTTTAATGCTCAATTACACATTGGGGAATTTTCTTTTCTATTATACAGTCCTATATAAAAAATGATGTATATATAAAGATGCTCAATGTGACAGTTTTTAATGGCTAAAGATTAGAAACAAGTTAAATATCCATCAATAGCAATTGGTTAAATAAATTATAGTACATACAGTGGTGAACATTTTTCAGCCAGTAAAGGAATAAGGCAACTTTGTGTGTACTCTCCAAGTATTAAGTCGGGGGAAAATATGGGTGGAACATGTGTGTGTGTGTGTGTGTGTGTGTGTGTGTGTGTCCTGTTTATGTATGCATAGGATAATATATAGAATATTTGACTATAGCTGGAAGAATATCTAAGAAACTGTTTACAACGGTGGCTTCTGGTGAGGTGAACTAATCCACTGGGGGACAGGGTAGAAGGAAGTCTATCTTTTTACTGTATGACGTTTCCTGCCTTTTGATTTTTGTACCATGAGTGTATTTTACCTATCCAGAAAATTACAGAACTGTTAAAAATTTATTTTTTTTATTTTTAAGATTATTTATGTATTTATTTGACAGAGAGAGACACAGTGAGAGAGGGAACACAAGCAGGGGGAATGGGAGAGGGAGAAGCAGGCTTCCTGCTGAGCAGGGAGCCCAATACGGGGCTCGATCCCAGGACCCTGGGACCATGACCCGAGCCATAGGCAGACGCTGAACAACCGAGCCACCCAGGCGCCCCAGAACGGCTAAAAATTTTTTAAATAAATCCAATGCCCATTCGTAGGAAACATTTTATTGAAGATTTGTAGAGTAATTAGCTCTCTCTTTAATTAGCTTTCCATTTCTCTAAATCAGATTAATTTCAGTTCCTTTGAGAAGTCTTTGTTTCCCCTGAAATTGTAGGTCATTTTTTTCCATGTTCATTTTTCAGGATAGAAAGGTCCATAGCTTTCATTAGATTATTAAAGGTAACTCTGATTGAGTCAAGCAGAGAAAGACAATTATCATATGATTTCACTTACATGTGAAACATATGGAATAGCAGCATGGAAGACATTAGGAGAAGGAAGGGAAAAATGAAAGGGGGGAAATCGGAGGGAGAGACAAACCAGGAGAGACTATGGACTCTGAGAAACAAACTGAGGGTTTCAGAGGGGAGGGGGGTGGGGGGATGGGTTAGCCTGGTGGTGGGTATTAAGGAGGGCATGTACTGCATGGAGCACTGGGTGTTATACGCAAACAATGAATCATGGCACACTACATCAAAAACTAATGAAGAACTGTATGGTGACTAACATAACATAAAAAACAAAACAAAACAGTGCTTTGTTTCTTTTTTTTTGGGGGGAAAGGGGGGGGGGGGGGAGGGAGGTTAAAAACTTTACATGGTCCTGAAGAAGAGCAATGGCAGTAAAGCATATGGTTCTTCTCTCTATAGATCACAATTCAAAACAGTATGAAAGGTATTTATTGAGTGTCGGATGGTTTCTGATCAGTTTTTACCTATTTGCAGCTGTTCTATTGTATATATCCTTTACTAGAAGCTATTTCAAACTCTTTGGAGATGGAGACTGGGTATAAAGTATAAATAAACAGAACCAGATATTAAAATTAAAAACAAGAACTAAGAGAGAGTAGGTTGACTATCTGTACCATGAGACATTGACCCTGGAAGGAGGCAGCTCTGCTTGATTCCAAAGGCAGAGTGGTGGGGCGCCTGGGTGGCTCAGTTGGTTAAGTGTCTGCCTTCAGCTCAGGTCATGATCCCAGGGTCCTGGGATGGAGCCCCACATCGGGCTCCCTGCTCAGCGGGGAGTCTGCTTCTCCCTCTCCCTCTGCCCCTCTCTCCACTCATGTGTGCGTGCTCTCTCTCTCTCAAATAAATAAATACAATCTTTTTTTAAGATTTATTTATTTATTTGAGAGAGAGAGAATGAGAGAGAGAGAGAGAAAGAGAGAGCACATGAGAGGGGGGAGGGTCAGAGGGAGAAGCAGACTCCCTGCTGAGCAGGGAGCCCGATGCGGGACTCGATTCCGGGACTCCGGGATCATGACCTGAGCCAAAGGGAGTCGCTTAACCAACTGAGCCACCCAGGCACCCCTAAATAAATACAATCTTAAAACAAAACCAAAACAAAACAAAACAACAAAGGCAGAGTGCTGATGCCCATGATGTCCATGTGATGGAAACTGAGTGCCGCTGGATTGAGTGATTAGAGGCTGATATCTAAATTAGACCTGGGAACCCTCGTCTACCAGGTACACCTTGTGGCCAAAGGAAAGGTGACCATTTATCTTCTGGTGGTGGGAAGGCCTCTTTGGCTGCAGGAGTCACAACACTTGTCTGTCCACCTCTGATTTCAGTGGAGGTGATGAAGCATTTCCTAACATTTGTCCTTTGGCTAAGCTAATACATCCACATACTATCTCCCAAGATACTTACCTAGGTGTTTGACTCCTCTAAGCTACACAACCCTCTATTCTGCTGAATATTTTATGCCAAAGCAGCTTGTTTTCTGTGCCTCTCTACCTGCTGGCAGACATGTTTTCAGTTTTAAGTGGACAGAATCTGTCAGAAAGGTTCTAGGAAAGTCCCCAAACATGGTAGGCTTTTGTGTCTTCAACCCCAGAAGTTCTTAACATCGATTGCCAACGGGAGTGCTCAAGTTAGAAGTTTTGGCAAACAAAATCAACAGCAATTATTAATATTTAATATGTTAAGGTGCTATAATCATTACATTTTTATTGTGCTTTCCCTCTCTGACCTTTTCCTTTACCTTTTAAAGGCTCCCATCTAACAACTAGACGTGATCTCAGAGCCCTTCAATTCTGATGCTACCGTTTCCCATCGGAAGACATGGGGGCATAGAAAGGTTCAGTGCTCAGCTTCAAATTACGCAGCCATTTAGTGGCAGAACTTGATTTCAGTGCTTATTATACCAACTGAGTCCGCAAAAAGTGTAGAATGTGCTGATGTTGATGCATGCAGGGTAGGCATCAGGATTGTGAAGGAACACAAAGGAATGAGATCAGCCTCTATTAGCCATGAATAATGGATTAGATACTGTGTGTGTGTGTGTGTGTGTGCGCGTGCAAGTGTTTTAATACCAGAGGGAAAACAACATGTTTTCTCTAAAATATTAGTCATTTTTTCAAGAAACGTTTACTGTATGCAAGATACAATGGTAGCCATAGGGGATGCAAAGATAGGACATGCTTCTTGCCCTACTTAATAAAGTAATACTATATAGCTTTGATTTTTCAAGTGAGAAAGTATGTAGGAGGAGAATATGAAATTGCATTTACGATGGGAATGCATTTAGGGAAGAGAAAGAAAGAAAGGCACTAAAGGTAAATATTCTAATACTCTGTAACAATGAATTGATCCCCCTTTAAAGGGAATTTGATATATATTGTGAGATTATCCAAATTAGATACTTTTTAAGTATGGTTCTTTTGAAAGCAGATGATTCTGACTATGCAAGCTTTTTATTGCAGAATCCCCAGTCTAAGAAAATGATACGGTGAGGCTACAGATGATGTTCATGACCTCGAGAATCTGAATACAGAACAGAGGAATGGGGTGAGGGTGGGAGGAGTAGAGACTGTTTAAGTTTTGTCTGCAGCCTGAGACTTTCAGATTTTCTTTTTTTTTAAAGATTTTATTTACTTATTTGTCAGAGAGAGCGAGTGCACACACACAAGCAGGGGGAGTGGCAGGCAGAAGGAGAAGCAGGCTCCCCACTGAGCAGGGAGCCCAAAGTGAGACTCCATCCCAGGACCCTGGGATCATGACCTGAGCCAAAGGCAGACACTTAACGGACGAAGCCACCCAGGTGTCCCTCTTTCAGATTTTCTTTCAGATTCTAGGTCCCTGAATATTCTGCATGGTTGATGAGTGTTCCCATTTTATAGGTATAAGATATATCATCTTTATATGACTGTGTACTGTTTCTTTGTAAACATCTTGTGAAATTATTAGAATTATTTACTTTCAGAGGAGGAAAAAAACAAAGCAAGACATATAAGACCTCATCGATTATCTAATCTACCCCTTCTGTTTTATAAGCAAAGAAGATTGGCCTCAATTAGCAGAACTGACTTATTCCGAACTCCACACAATTTCTGGGAAAATGCAGGCTTCCTGAGACTTCACTGGGCGCTGCCTGTGTGTTTGGAGGAGCACAAATTCTCTTTCATAAGTGGGAAATGACATCGGGCGAGGGCTACCAGCAGGAAGACAAGAACTCCCATTACTTCAGCCTCTGCTCTCAGGCTGTTCATAGTCTTGGAAAAAGCTGAGCAGGCCATCTCCAGGGCTGAGGACACTGACCTGATGAAACGTAGTTGCATACTTAAAGCCTCTGGTGAGGAAGATTCTGAGGAGCTGCTGTGACCAAGGTCTGCGCACAAGTGAGACTTTTATAGGTGACAAGATTCTCATTCAAGAAGATGAAATGCCTGAAAAAAGGTGAAACTCTGAGCCAAAAGACTCAGGATTGTTCTATCAATGTTCCCTTCCCTGCCTTTGCTGCAGGTCTGTGTACCCTTTAAGAACTGCCTGTCCCCGGGCGCCTGGGTGCCTCAGTTGTTAAGCATCTGCCTTCGGCTCAGGTCATGATCCCAGGGTCCTGGGATGGAGAGCCCCAGATCGGGCTCGCTGCTCAGCGGGGAGCCTGCTTCTCCCTCTCCCACTCCCCCTGCTTGTGTTCCCTCTCTCGGTGTCCCTCTCTGTCCAATAAATAAATAAAATTAAAAGAAAAAAGAACTGCTTGTCCCTCCTGTTGGCTTGCTGTTGGCTTGCCTGTGAAAATGAGCCTGCCCATCCCAGCTGTTGACTTGTTGTTGGCTTGCCTGTGAAGAGGAGCCTGCCTGTTTACAGCACCAAAAAGAACCCCCTGTCCCGCCTGTTGGCATGCTGTTGGCTTGCTGGTGAAGATGAGCCTGCCTGTTTACTGGGAGAGCCACAGCACCAGACACACGCCTGCCATGGAGCAGATACTCAGGAAGTATCTGTTGAATAAATGAAAGAAGGGGGACTGAATAAAAAGCATTGTTTTTTGTCCTCAGACAGTGTCCAACATTTGCTTTGAATATATCAGCACCTTTCCCTGGTACTAAGGCCTTTCCTTTCTAAGGCCAGAGGCTGATGCTCAGAGCATTTCTGTTTTATCAAATTGAATTCAGAATCGTGATATCTCAACCCGAGAAATATAGTTGGAATTGCACATGAAACGGAAGCAAGCCACAGTCTGTATCCTGTCTTGCTTGCCTGAAGCCCCAAAGGGCCTGGGGGAGCCCCTGAAAACTACCAGCCTTAACGTTCATCCCCATCGATGCTCATTCATCCCCATCGCTCGCTGACTACATCCTCTCACCCAGTAAGCTTTGTGGGAATCCTTCCTGGGAACCACCAAGCTTCTAGTAATTCTAAAACCATTGCTAAATCTTACTATGTTGCAACAAGACAGCCTTCACACAGTTCTCCATTTCTAGCTCACACCTTGATCTTGTTTTAAGACAGTTAAAATTGGCTACCTGCCTTCAGGTGATCCTGGCAGGTCAGAGAAGAAATTTGTTGCTTGCAGTTGGGATTTTCCTCTTTCGATTCTGACTTGAGAGTTTCTCCTTTATTCATGGGGTTATGAAGCCAAACCCTGTCCGTCTGACACGACTGTCAGTTGCTGGCAGAACAAGGCTGTGGAGGATGGCACAAAGGCAGGGTCTGCAGACATCAGCGAGGGCCATGAAGGGGACTCTGGGCAGCGAGAAGACGTCCCAGGACATTGTTCCTAGGCAAATCTCACCTGTTCTGTCCGTGGGGGAGGGCAGCGAGGGGGCAGAGGGTAGAAGAACGGACTCTGCCTTTCTTGAAGGGAACTTGGAAGCGCCCAGACGGTGGCGAACAGCTCCCTCCCCCGCAGCTCCCCGCTCACCTCTGCGGTGGCCCATGTCCCAGCTCCTCCAAGGTCCCGGCCACAGCCCAGGGTGCACTCCACTTCTCCCTCGGCCCCTACTTAGGCGGCTGCTGTCACTGCACCGCTGTCCGACCGCGCGGCTCCCCAGTGGCTTGAGGAGGCCGGTCATGGTGATCGAGTTACCCTGCAGCCCACTGGCTAGGGCCAGGCACGTGACCAGAGAAAAAGTTTGGGTCTGCATGGACTGGAGACAAAAAACGCCCTTCTTGCCAACGGATGTCTCCTTAAAGCCAAGAGCAAATGCACACTTCAAGTAGGACCTTGAAAGAGCGCATCTGGCCAAACTCGGGGCTTTTTTCCCCTTCTTTTAAAAAACTTCATTCATCTTCCTCAGCTTAGGATGTTGCTGTCCCAAGGAGGCAGGTGCATTAAAAGATGTGGTTATCAAAAATAAATAAGTAAATAAATAAAAAAATGGGGCACCTGGCTGGCTCAGTGGATGGAGCCTGCAACTCTTGATCTCTGGGTCCTGAGTTCAAATCCCACCTTGGGCAAAGAGATTAATTTATTTTTATTTTTTTTTTAAAGATTTTATTTATTTATTTGAGAGACAGAGAGAATGAGAGAGAAAGCACATGAGATGGGGGGAGGGTCAGAGGGAGAAGCAGACTCCCTGCTCAGCAGGGAGCCCGATGCGGGACTCGATCCAGGGACTCCAGGATCATGACCTGAGCCGAAGGCAGTCGCTTAACCAACTGAGCCACCCAGGCGCCCAAAGAGATTAATTTAAAATAAAGGACGCAAGCAAGAAAGAGGGCAAAAAGATTAATTTAAAATAAATAAATAAATAAATAAATAAATAAATAAATAAATAAATAAAAGATGTGGGTATCAGATACTGTGGTGGGCAGACCAAGTGGATAAAAAGGTTACATGGACCAGAGGATCTCATTTGCTCATTTCTTATTACTTCTGTTGCTGCTGAGTGCAAGCAAGGGAGGAAAGATGCATCAACTATTACTAGTGAGTCTAGGTACAGGAAGGATACACCTGTGGAAGTTAAGCGTACTTGTTGACTGAAACAGGTAACATGAGGATATAGGATCCATAACATGAAATGGTGAGCACCTTTGAAAAAGAACGGAGTTTTGTTTGTAAATTTCTAAAAATTATTTTTGGAGAGGCAATATGTGCAACTGATATAAGATACAAAAATATTGAAGAGTGTATAGTAAAATGCCTTTTTATACTCTTCCTCAGTCCCCTAATTCTCCGAAGGGATACCCCTGTGACCACTGTTTGTATACCCATCCAGAGCTTGTCTATGTAAATACAAACATGCATGCCTCCCCCTCTTCCTTGGAAACAGCACACTATATATGCTTCTTCTGCTCCTTGCTATTTTCACTCAGCACGCAAACATGGAAATTGTTCCATATAGTTCCTTTAAGAGTTACCACATTCTTTTTAATGGCTCATGCTGGCCCATTACCTACATGTGTCATTATTTGGCCAAAAAAAAAAAAAAGGACCAAGGGTCATGTGTTAGTTAACTTTCCTTGCCTAAGTCCTGACACAATGCAAGGGCTCAGGAAACATGCAATGCTTGCTTGCTCACAAATTAATTACATTTTGTACAACTTGCTCATGTTTTCCCTCCTCTCTCCTTTTGGAGGTAACAATATTCTTTTCAATATTCCAGATATTTATATAATGTATATATTCCCCCACAACCAAGTCTGTCTCATGCACTGTTCAACCTCGCTAACCGATCCAATGCCCATCGTAATCTAGCTCCTCTCATATAACATTATTCCCCACTACTTCCTATTTTCTAATGCTCTGAGTACCACTGTCATGTGTAAACGTTTATCGATCACTTACTATGTGCAAAATTTTTTTTTTCTATTTTCTGTTATCCCTACCTCTATGTCATTGCTCATAGACTTTCCCATCCAGATTTTCCTTCCTGATCCTGCCCATTGTTCTACCTCTGGTTCTTTTCTTTCCGAACTTTTTTAGCTTATGTGGTCAGTGCTTCCCTAGAGTAGCAGGCAATTTTTTTCTTTTTTTTTTTTTTTAAAGATTTTATTTATTTATTTGAGAGACAGAGAGAATGAGAGAGAAAGCACATGAGATGGGGGGAGGGTCAGAGGGAGAAGCAGACTCCCTGCTCAGCAGGGAGCCCGATGCGGGACTCGATCCAGGGACTCCAGGATCATGACCTGAGCCGAAGGCAGTCGCTTAACCAACTGAGCCACCCAGGCACCCAGCAGGCAATTTTTTTTCTATAATCATTTCAAGTAAGAGCTTTATGTATTTCTATGGCATAACTCTGGCACACAGTAGGTCCTCAGCCGAACCTGCAAAAATGAGAATCTCTTTCTGGTCCTCCTGGGTTTTCTCTCCATCCTGCCTTTGAGGAATTGCTCTTGGCTTTCTTGTTATCTTAAGGTCGCTTCAGACATCCCCCTCCCGGCTGCTCTTCTTTAAAGGAAGTGCTCTTGAGGAGAGGTCCAGAGATCCTGGAAGAAAGTGGGTCTGGGTTCAAACTGCCATCCACCAACTTTATGACTTTGGCTTCTCTCAGTCTGTTTCCTCATCTGTCCTTCTTTGACCCCTCAGTAATTTCCCCTAACTTCCCTCAATCCAAGTATTCTCTGTCACTTTACCTCATTAGTTTCTTTCATCATAGCTATCACCAGTTCTCATTGATGGGGTTTTGGGATATAGGTGAGGTTCAGTGGGGTGGCCCGGAGCCGATGACTCAGAAAGAATTCTTGAGACGCCTTCGGTGCAAAATGGTGGTTTATTAAAGCACAGGACAGGACCCGTGGACAGAAAGAGCTGCTGCCCCGGGGCTGTGAGGGGTGGCTGATTATATACTATGGGGTCGGGGAAGGTAAGGAAAAGGGAGGTTTCAAGAGGATTTTTGTATGTTAAAGAAGACTCACAGCATACCAGAGGTCTTGCCATTGTCAAGTTAAGGTTGTTTATCCTTCTAGGAAGGCATCAACAGTAAGATAGTTGGGAGCTCCCTGGAGAAACATTACACTTTGCCCGCTTCAAGTATCTGTGAATGGGCTGCAAATTATAAGGACATTTCATTGTATCTACATTCCCTTCTGGAAGCTAGGCCATTGATAGAAAGGCTTTGTCCTCGTAAAATTGCTAAGACTTTTGTAAACTGAGGGAGACTCCTGTCCTGCACGACTGTGATCTCTATCAGTTAACCATTTGTTTTTCCTTTAGGGCAGCCAGGAGTGCCTGCGCAATGTCACACATACCACATGGGGGTGGGGGTGTAGACTGTCAGCTTTGGGTTGGTCCTCAGCGAGCCTTCTGCTCCCGCATCATCATCATCATCCTTTTATTTCCTACTTGAATGCTTGTTTACCTGTTTTACTGTCAATCCCTGCCACCAAATGTTAAGCTCCATAAGGTTAGGACCTTCATCTGCTTCCAGTGCATCCTCCAGGGTCAACAAAGGACACAGCATGTAGCAAATGGACCATTAATATAGCCCGCTGGATGAACACCTAATCTCCTCCTGGACTGAGAATCAAGACTCAAATCCTGGTCCTATCTCTGGGAGCTGGGTGACTTTACTTGGTTCCTTTCTGTTAAATTGGGGGAATGTATTAGAACATCTTTATGGACCCTCACAGATTTGGACATTTAAAGGTCTATGATTATTATGGGTAGATTTAAAAATTTTGTCATGTTAGTAGACTCTGAGGGAGAAGGAAAATCAAATGAGATATGAATAAAATAGATTTGATGTCTATTTCTAGATAAAAGAAAGAACTCTGATCTCTGATTTCATCAAAGAACAGAGGTGTTTTTTTTTCAGGTTGAAATAAAAATATCGAAACAATACTCAAATGCTTAGTTATGAAACATGACATTTGCTTTATATTTAGGGGAAGCCTGATGATCTTGATAATTTCCAAGAGTCCAAAGACGGGTTTTCTATTCTGTACCAAGGGAAAAGGCCAGCTGGGGGCATTCTTCATTTGAATTTAAAGGTAAATGTATAAGCTGATAAAAGACATTTGACAAAGTGTCAGACCTTGGCTAAGCTTGGTGTGTGTTGGTGGCTTTTAACAATGGAATCAATTGACAGGCATCTAGGTATATCAGCACTCTAATGGGTAAAAAGTTTTTTGAGACTTGAGCTCAGAGGGTGGTTATAGTGGAACAAACTGGGAGGCATTTACCTTCTTTTCCATTTTCAAAATATTTCAAACCCCAAAACAGTTGACCTTGAATTGTGTGGGTCCACTTAATTAATAGCCCACTGTTAACCAGAAGTCTTACTGATAACATAAACAACTAACACATATCTTATATGTTATATGTATTATATACTGTATTCTTACAATAAAGTAAGCTAGAAAAAAATGTTGAAACCATAAGGAAGAGAAAATGAATTTGAAGTACTGTGCCATGTGGAAAAAATCCACATGTAAGTTTTGGGGGAGTCAAAAGTTGTACCCTAATCCCTGCTCTGTTCAAGGGTCAACTGTATATATTTAACATTTTGGGGGCACCTGGGTGGCAGGCTCAGTTGGTTAAGCGGTTGCCTTCAGCTCAGGTCATGATCCCAGGATCCTGGGATCCTTGCTCGCAAGAGAGCCTTCTTCTCCCTCTCCCTCTGCCTGCCCGCTGCTCCCCCTGATTGTGCTCTCTCTCTCTCTCTCTTTCTCTGTGTCAAATAAATAAAATCTTTAAAAAAAATAAAATGTTATCTTCCTACACATACTTTAAGAAATGCATCCCATTAGATTTAGTATTTAGACTTAAGAATAACAGAATGTCTTGGCTGGCCAAGGATCTTCTTGGGAGACCAATTTTACAACCAGTGTTTCAATTTATTTAGCCTATAATCTCCTAGCTGAGATTTGTTTAAGCCTTACTTTGTATAGTTTGTCGTCCAAAAACGATAACTATTTTTTCCCCCAAATAGTACATTATATTATTGAATATATTCTTCTCCAACTACCCTCTCATTTGTTTGGAACCTCCCTCCCTTTGAGCAGTAGTGATTTACACAATTATTCTAATTTTGCAGTAGCATAAATACAGCGGGAACTCCCTCGTTTCCAGCAAACA